AACATACAAAAATCAGTTGGATTTCTCTACAGCGACAAAAAGGAAACAACCAAAAGCCTACAAAATAACTTTCTGCATAAGAAAGACAACTTGATTAATTTAATACTTCAAATCCAAACAACGAGGCAAATTGATAACACACAGGCCAATAACCCCCTACCAAACCATACTCCTTCTAAACAATGTTTCCCCCTAATATTTTAATCTTGTTTTTAATCTGATTTTAATGCTAAACACTCTGAATCATAAACAATGAATCTTTCTCACTCATCTAGGAAAATTACACTGGCTTCAAAATGAGTTACCTGGATTCAAAATCTAAGTATGCCTATGTTTGCTAATAGATTTAACATCCTAAAAATGCATTTGATATTGCACTGCCAATCCAAAGGTAGGCCCTTTAAATATGCTGCTTGGTGGGGAAAAAGACGAACAATCTCATCTCATGCAATTTAAAGCTTTTGAAACCCGACTGACTGGTCAGCTATGGGTTGGTTTCCAAAATATACATACAAACATATATAGAGACCCATATATATATATATATCTCCACACACATGCTTTGAAATGCCAGCAAAGACTGCTCTAAAGGAAAGAAAAATGAGAAGAAATGGAAAATTTTATCTGGACAAAGGTTGTTTATTCTAAGTTTTGTTTGTTTGTTTTATAAAAACCTACCAATATTAAGCCTACTAAATGTCTTTTAAAATACAGAAATATTAAGACTGAGTTTGAAGGTCTTTTTAAGGTATTTTAAGGAAAAGTTGACTTCATTCCTAAAGGTAAGAAACTGTGCTTTATAAAAGATCAGTTTATACAAAAGAAAACATTTAATCATTAAGATCTGTGAAGCTTTACATAATTTGGCTTATCATTTTCATGCATATGTGAATAAATATAACTTACCTCCTGAATAGCAGTCATAACCACATGTTGAACAGACTCTTCCAATGTCATTATTTTTTGAATATGTTCTATGATTTAAAAGAAAATAAGATCTCAACAAAATCTGCTCATCACCTATATAGTATCTTGACTATCTAATAAAGATAATTTAAAATTCATTTACCACAGATAACCATTATGCAAACAGATTATTTTCCCACTAATACTTAGGGTATATTACTAGGAGAGGTTATTCCTTGGAGAGGACCAGCATGCTTGGGAAGACAGAGAGCTGGCAAAGAAGAGGAAGAACTTAAGCCAGGTGGGCTGACACAGTGACTACAGCAATGAGCTTGAGGGTTTCGGAGAGTGTGAGGATGACACAGGATAGGAGATGGTTCAGAATGGTTGTTCATAGGGTTGTTAAGAATTGTACTTGAGTCAATAGTACATAAGAACAACAACATATATATATATATTTAATGAAACAAATAAGCAGTACTAAAAGCATTTTTAATAACATTTTCAATTTCTTAACAAGGGAGAAAAAAAATTACAATTAATCCTCACTTCTGTGTTTGTGTATCCTTCACTTACGTGTTTCTTTATAGTAAATATTCACTATTATAGTGGAAATTCTTCAAGGATTAATCCATCCTGGCACCATGCCCAATTTGAGACAGAGTTTCAAAATCCTTGCCTCAAAGGAGCAATATGATTTCACCCTCTTCAGAACAAATCTGTTTGTTCTCTTGGCAGTTCATAGAATGTCAATACTCAAAGACATACATTGATTCTTCTGTCATCCTTAGTCATTGTCCAGCTCTCAAACGCACAGCAAGCAACTGAGAAGACCATGGCCCAGATCAGGTGCATCTTAAGTCTCTAGACTGACAAAATTGCTCTTTAGAACTCTAAAGAGTTCCTGAAGAGCAGACTTTCCTAAAGGAACTTATCTTTCGATTTCCTAAATGCAGGTGAATGTTGACTGTGGGTCCAAGCAAGATGAAATCATTAACCACCTCAATTTTATCTCCATCTATCATCATGCTGTCAGTTGGCCTGGTGGTGAAATCTTTGTTTTCTTGCTGTTGAGATAAAATCCATATTGAAACCTGCAGCCCTTGATCTTCTGCAGCAAATGCTTCGAGTCCTAGTTGATTTCAGCTTGAAAGGCTGTATCATCTGTGTAACACAGGTTGGTTGGGGGTTTTTTCCCCCCCCAATTGAATAATTTATTGCTGGTCAGAGGCTTGCCTCGTTTTGAGCTTAGTAGAATTTACATTGTTTCCACAAGTAACAGCTATTGTATTACAGGAATTTTATATTAACCTATTCAATGAGGCAATCAGGTTAGTAGCAAACTTTTACTCAGATCTTACATAACTCTAGCTTTATAAAAAGCCGACATAACTGAAAGTTGAGTTCTCTAGGTATCCAAAGCTCGAAAGTTAATTAAAAAATAAGTAAATACAAACAAAAAATCTCTACAGCAGATGCTGCTGAGTATTTTTTTTAAAAAATCTAATTGAGCTTAATCTTTCCAAGAGGTATTCCAAGATGAGTCTTCCTTTAATCTTGATGTTATAATCTTCCTCATAAAGTCCAGACTCCCAAATAATCTGTTCCAAAAAAAGAGTGCTGCAAATTTAAACATCAAACATTCTGTTATATATGTAATATACCAAGATTAAGTTTGGAAAAATCATGCAAATAAAGTTAGTGTTAAAACCTCACCATTTTGATGGATGTAACCCCTAACAAATTTAGACAGAGGTCTGTTCAGCTGTTTTATTCTTCACATGTAACCGTAATAAATCTTCTCTTTACTCAGGAAGATAGGAATCACTAAGTTTGAGTAAAACAATATAAAAAACTAAGTATCTATATAAGCAGAGTGGTTATTTGGAAGACAAATTTGACAGGAATTCTTCAGAAAGAAGAAAGTTACCAACAGAAGAAGCTTGGATAATCATTTAGAAGCTACATATTTATTTCTGAAAAAAATAAGGAAAGAAAAAAGCTTCTGTTTCACTATGTAAAATCAGTAAGTAAAAATGGATCATATAGACACACTATTGTCCTAAGCATTAAATATTTTAAAGTAAAATCATATTAATTTAGACACTGAATAGGAACTTTCCAATCTAAATACAAATGGGCTACTCTAACAGTTTTTTAAATGTACAGCTGGGGTAGACTTTAGATCTTCTGGCTTACATTTGAGGGTGCTTCTACCAACTGATGATAGTAGATGTTTTGCTTCATTGTAAAGTAATAGAGGTTGTTCTATAAACTCAAGTTATTTAAATTCACCAACCTTGCTTCTTTTCACAGTTCACTGCACAACCTAATATAAGCTGGAGCAACCGCCCAAGTTCCACAGAATCTGAACTTTCAGTTATTTGGTTTAAATTAGGGATAAGTTCTTCTGAAATCTGCTGCCCCAAAAACTGTAGGATCAAATAATAAAACAAGATCACTCATTTACAAAGGATATAAAGAAATAACTACCCTGGATTATCCCAAGGGAAAGAAACTATTAACTAAATTCATGAAAAGACAGATAAATCAACAATCAATCTAGACTTGCTAGCAATGCACCATTACATTCAAAAATTTTTAGTAAAAAACCAAAAACTAATGAACACTTTTAAACCAAATTATCATTTGATGCCACTGTCAAGGAGAATTAGTTTATAAAGAAAAGCCAGATTTACTACAACAAAAACTATGGCTTTCCATGAAATAAAGACAAGTTTATGTTAACCAAAGGATAGACATACATCTTGAAATAGAATGTTATAGTCATGTGTGTTGAATTTGAACTGACTCACAGCTGACCCTCCAGCAGGTTTTCAGAGGCAGCAAACTGTAGAGGAGGAGACTGCCCATTCTTCTTGCACAGAGCAGCTAATAGATTCAAATTATATGTCTTTTGGGATTGCAACAAAGCCTCTTACCACTCAGCCACCAGAACTCAGTTACTATATAACTATGTTATAAATTGCCCTCTGGTTTGGTTATGCCACTAAACACTTTAATAAAAAAGATAAATCCTAGAAAAATGAATCCCTTAGATTCTTCCACAAATGAACAAATAATCTAGTTAATTAATTTTTCTGGGAAATATCTTTCACATTTTTATTTTCTTGGCATTTATAAAAGCTTTAAAAAAATTATTTTATGCAGTATTTAACTCAACATTTCCAGTTCTCTTACTATTTTGTGGCACAAATTACAAGTTTAATTGTGTAAGTGCTAAAAACAAAGTCTTCAGTAGCATAACCAAATCAGAAAGCTTCATTACCTAGTAAGCTGCCTAACAAAGTTTTCTTATATCAAGTAAACCTCTGATGATGTCTTATGATACTAAATGAGGGATAAACCAAGTAATGTATTATCTAATGTAATTTTAGCATTACTTTCATTTAGTTATTTTTCCAATTCACTTGAAAAGCAAAATCTAAAAAAATATATCTTTGTGGTTGTTTGCAAAGTGATGTCAAAATAAGATAGTTTAAATACAAAATTATTCTAATTTAATTTTATAGTTTAGTTTATAATACTGAGTAAAAGCAAGTCATAAAAATGAAGCTAACTCCTATATGAGAAAATAATTTTAAGTGTGTGTGCATATATAAACCCATATACACATGTAATGCTAGCTTACAAATCAATATAATTTAGAAAGTTCAATCTTCTAAAAATGCCAATAAAATATTCTAATTATGTAGTAAGCAAAAATCCAAGTCAATTTTCAATGTAAATACAATTCTCAGAAAGCATTTTTATATTTAAATAAAGCCACATTGTTTTTTTATACCTCATGGTAGTAACTCATAATCCCTTGAAGAACCTTCTTTAAGTTATTAACCTAATGAGAAACAGAAAATAAGAAGTAAATCCTTATATGTCATTATTAATGAAAGAAAATTTATACCAAAACATAATACAATTTTAACAAGACATACTATAATTTTTTTCCCTGATTAAAAAAGCCAACTAGATTATTTGCATTTTACAAATATGGGTATACAGAATTTATAAAATATCAGGTATAGACAAAAGGAAAAACATTCTCACATTTACATAGTTTAACTACAGTGCTTCCACTGCAAGTAGGGCTCAATGCTGAGCCTGCAGTCTTCATAAAGTCTAGCTTCCAGGATGACTTTCTCAGTACACAAATTTATTAAGGATACAACTTTGATGCACATCTTTCTTGATTTTAAAACATGCAGTATATACCTTTTCTGTTTGGAGGAATGGCTTATGCTTTACTGAATTTAGGCATGAGCACAATTAAGCGTTCTGGTATTCCCATTCTTCTCATGTTATCTATAATTCGTTGGACTCAAAAAATATGGACAGTAAAGTGCAGGTAAATATCTTTCTGATACTCTTTTAGTCAAGAGCCATTAAACATTAGAAATTAAATCCCTCATCCCATGTCTTCTTGTGAATCTAGCTTGAATTTCTGGCAGTTGTCGATCAATGTTTTGCTACAACTGTATCTGTATTAACTTCAGTTTTGTTCTCTGTCAGATAAATTTTCTTTGAAATGGGCACAAATACGAATCTCTTTCAGATTCTTCAGAAAGTACCAGTTTTCCAAACTTCCTGGGCTCAATAAATGAGCATTTCCTGTATTGCTCAAACTTCTCAGCTGGTGTTCTATCAACTCTTGGAGCCTTCTTTTCAGCCAATGCATTCAGTGAACCTTGACTTCTTCCTTCACTATCATTTCCAATTTGATCATAATAAGTGACTACCTGAAATATGTGAACACTGTGAGCAGTTCTTTATAGGATACTGATTCTGTGAAATCCTTCCATCTTCTTTGATATCTTCTGTGTGGCTCAAATTTGTGCCCAAAGAAGCATTCAATTGTGCACTTTGAGGCTTGAATTTTTTTCTCCAATTATTTCAGCTAGGTTTTCTAACAATATTTTGTTTCCTTGGTCACTCTTTAAAATTCCCTCTTCAACTTCATCCCTTCTTCCTTTTGCTTTAGCTACTCAGTCTTCAAAAGCAAGATTCAGAGTGCTCTGACATCCACTGGAATGTTTTTTCACGGTTTCCTACCCTTTAATGACCTTTTACCTTCTTCATGTATAACGCCTATGAAGGTATCCTACAACTTGCATGACTTTGGCTCATCCTATGTGGGTAACGTGTAAATTCTTGTATGGTTTCTAAACTCAAGAGGGATATACTCAAGATTGTAGTTTGGTTCTATGAAATTGGGGGTTTTCTCTCCCTTTATTTTCAACTTGAAATTGCATATGAACAAAAGATGGTCTGTTCCGTAGTTCGGCCTTGGCCTTGTTCTGACCAATGATATTGAGCTTCTCCATTATCTCTTTCCATGTATGTAGCTGATAGGATTTTCTATTCTTCTAAGTTCATTTGTACAGTCACAATTTAGGTTATTGAAAGAAAAGATATTTATAGTAAATTAGGGTTTTTTTAAATCTTATTCTATCCTCTCAGGTGTCACTGTTATAATAAAGATCATTCTTTTCCAGCTACCTTCTTAAATCTAATTTTCAATACATCTTCACTGCAGTTAATCAACAACTTCAGATTGCAGAAATGGGTAAAAAAAAGGTTTACATATCTTTAATATTACTGTTGTTGCATAAATTTGAATAGTCATATTAACTGGTCTTCCAGGGATTTTATTCTATCATTGGCAATTTTATGCTTCAGTTCTATCTTGGAATTTTTTTTTAGGTTTGTTTTTTTTTTACCATGAATGTGATGCAACTCTTCTTCTATTTCATTCTCAGCATAGTAAACCACATGGCTTGCCAACCCAAAATAGTTATTACAGTCCACTTCTGCTTACTAATGCCTAGATCTTTATCCTCTTCATTTCATTTTTGACAACTCCCAATTGGTCGCGTGGTAAGGAACTGTGTTGCAAACCCAAAGGTTCATGGTTTTAATCAACCAGAAGCTCTGTGGGAGAAAGATGGGCAATGTCCTCTCTTATAATATTGTGGTTAGGTGCTATGAAATTGAGTGCAGCTCACAGCAACCCTATGAACAACCAATCCAACCTCTGCCATCCTCTCAATCCCTGAAACTCTTGAGCCCACTGCTGTAGATACTGTGCCAATGCACCTGGTTGAGGGTCTTCTCCTTGGCCGGCTGTCCACCTTCCCAACCATGACATCCCTCTCCAAGGAAAAAGTCTCTTCTTACAATATGCTCAAAGTAAGACAATGCTTTATCATCTTTGTCTCAAGGGCAGTACTCCAGATGTACCTACTCCAAGACATCTGTTTGTTCTTTTGGCAACCTTTATGATCTTCAGCACTCTTCTTCAACACCACAGTTTAAAGACAATACATTTCCTGATCTCCTGACTGCTGGTACCAAGCACACCGACTGTGGATTCAAGTAAGATGAAGTCATTGGCAGTTTCAATCTCTTCTCCATCTGTCATTCTCCATCTATCATGATATTGCCTACCGGTCTAGCGGAGAGGATTCCCCTCCCCCTAAAGTTTAAATGCCATCCATTTGAAGGCTACAGCACTTACTCATCTGCAGCAAGTGCTTCAAGTGCTCCTCACTTTCAGTAAGCAAGCTGTGTCATCCGCATAACAAAGCCATGCAATATATAGCCTCTGAAAAACTGCTGGAGGGTCATCTATGAGTTGGTCCTGAGTCAACAGTACCTAACAACAACATTCTATGTAGTAATTATTAACAGATATTTGCAGTTATTTCTTGTTATTTTGAGTTTCATCACAGCAACAAATGAAGGTCCCAAAAGCTTTATTCCATCAATATTAACCTTTATGCAGCTCTCTCTTAGTCTTATTTTGCATGCTTTCCAATAAGAGAGGTTCCTCTTCTGGAACTGTAGCAACAGTAGTCCAATAGTCTGCTAATCAACTATTTTAGAAACAGATCCCTAGGTCCATTCATCCTAGCCTGCTTCAGCACAGAAGCTCTGCTGAAACCTGCCCTCCATGGGTGAGTTTGATGTTATTTTAAACATCAGCAATATAACTTCCAGCATGAGACATAAGCCAGCAGAGTATGACAAACTGACAGACAAGTGTTGGCACTAATAAGAGAAGCTCACAAACAGGAGTCAATAAGCTAACAAACAGTATTTTAGTTTGGAAGCAGGAGTGGCATCCACTTCCTAAACAACATGCCTCTGGAAACTATGATCTTTGATAAATGACTTTAGTTAAAGAAAGGCTCCAGGCATTTTGGACATAAGGTTGCTATGAGTTGTGCTTGACTTGTCAGCAATCAACAACAAAAGCCATTTTAGTACACAAATTTTTATAAGTTAACATAGCAAATATATATTAAATCTAAAAGAGGGTAGAAAAAAAAAGGGTAGAGTGAAAAACAAGAGAGGAGACAAAAGGAAACAAAAATTGAGATGGCTGATATGAAAGCAATCAGATTGACTAGATACGTCTAAGAATCCTATTAAGAAAGCAAACTTGCCATACTGAAAGATAGATTCAACCATTAGATGCTTAAAGAAAATATTTTCAGTATAAAGGCATAAGAAAATTAAAAGACTAGGAAGATATAGGCAATGAAAACCAAATTATTATACTAAATTATTATATCAAAGCTGGAATAGCTTCATTACTACCAGACAAATAAGAATTCAGAAAATCCAATACTCCATAGAGATTTAAGCACTTCTCTCTCCCTAACTTACAGAATGAAAAATGAGTGAGGACATAAAAAGATCTAAGGGAATGCTTCTCCTGCTCACTCTGCATACCTTTATTCTCCAGTTGTCCCCAGCGTCCTCTTTAATTCGGCTTAACCAAGATTCATTGAACCAAGCTATATCACTAAAAGAAAAACACAAACACTAAACATTAAAATGCTTTTTGTTTACATAAAAAATTTAAGTATACCAGACTAAAAAAATCAAAGAAAGTTACTATGTAACTTAAAGTGTATGCTTAAATTAATAGGTTGATTTTATTTAAATGAGTCTGTGTTTTTTTTAGGTATTAAGACTCCTTTTATAATTTCACATATTAAATTGTGTAAATCATTAGAATCTTTAATTTAACATTTTCACTAAATATTGTGTGCTAGTTGGAAGCTGTCAAAAGTCCCAAACCTGAAAGGAAAGCAGAAAAAGAAGACGAGTACCTTAACAAGTATCTGCAAGTTACCAAAAGCTGTACTTGATATTTTTCATAACAGATTTACATTTCACAATAATATGGCATAAGTCGATCATTTCCCCAATCTTACTCACTTCTTGAAGAATCTTATTTTCATATAGTATTGTTTATAGCAACCATAAAAACCCAAACTCATTGCTGTCCAGTAGATACAAACTCATAGTAACACTATAGGACAAAGTAGAACAGCCTATAAGCTTTCCAAAGCTACAGATTTTTAATAAAACAGACTGTTATCAGTCTAAGGGCAAAGAACACAGCACATTGTAAACTTAAAATACTAATTCCTGCATAATAGTTGGCAAATATTAGGAAGTATTTAAATTAATTATGTTTAATCTTAGAAAAAATCTAATGCAGCTCTAGTCTAAAATAATCAATTTGTTAGGTAAGGTTCCTCAGCATTTGTGACTTAAAATTTTATCCATGTGTTATTTCATTATTGTTATCATGCATCACTGAGTTGCCTATGACTGACTCATAGTGACCCTATATACCACAGCTGTAAACCCTGCTCTATCCTATGCCAATTATTGTCTCTGACACACCTACTCCGATTACCCTTATCACTGAATCAATCCATTTTATTGAAGGTCTTCCTCTCTTGTGCTGTCCCTCCACCCTCCCAAGCATCACATCCCTCTCCAAGGACTGGTACCATCTTGCAAAATGTCCAAAGTATGTCAGATGAAGCTTCAGAATCCTTGCCTCCAAGATCAGCCTGGTTTCACCCTCTCTAGGACAAAGTTGTTTGTTCTCCTGGCAGTTCATGGTATATTCAATACTATTCTCCAGCACCACAGCTCAAAGGCAGCAATTCTCCTTCTATCATCCCTAGTCATTGTCCAGCTTTCTGATGCATAGTAAGTAATTGCAAAGACTATGGCCTGAATCAGATGCACCTTGGTCTCCAGCCTGACATTGTTGCTCTTCAGTACTGTGGAGAGGTCTCTAACAGCAAATTTCCCCAATGCAATTTGTCTTTTAATTTCCTGGCTGCTGGTACCAAGAGTGCTGATTATGGAGCCGAACAAACTAAACCTCTTAACAATCTCAGTCTCTTCCACCATCTATCATGATGCTGGCAAATGGACCAGTAGTGAGAATCTTTGTTTTCTTCATGTTGAGCTTCAATCCCTAATGAACACTGTAGTCCTTGACCTTCTGCAGCAAGCACTTCAGGTCCTCCTCAGTTTCAACAAGCAAGGTTGGGACTACAATCTTCCCAATTTTGAACGATGCAGTATTCCCTTGCTCTGTTCTGACAACTGCCTCCTAGTCCAAGTAGAGGCTTCACATAAGCAGAATCAAGTGCTCTGAGATTCCCATTCTTCTCAGAGTCAGCACAGTTTGTTGTGATCCACACAGTCAAATGCCTTTGCATAGTAAATGAAACACAGATAGACATTTTCCTGGTACTCTCTGTTTTCAGCCAAGATCCACCTAACATTAGCTATAAAATCCCTAGTACCATGACCTCTTCTAAACCCAGCCAGCACTCTGTTGATGTGCTGTTCCAGTTGTGTCTGGATAATTTTCAGCAGAATCTTGCTTGCATGTGATATCAATGATATTTTTTTTATAACTTCTGCACTCTGTTGAGTCACCTTTCTTTGGAATGGGAACAAATATAGATCTCTTTCAGTAAGTTGACCAGGTAGGTTGTCCTCCAGATTTCTTAGCACAACTTGGTGAGCACACCCAGGACCTGGAGTCTTGTTTTTGCCAATTCTTTCAGAGCAGCTTGAACTTCTTTCTTCATCACAACAGGCTCTTGCTCACACAATGTTTCATGAAATTCTTTGTGTCTGCCAATTCTTCTTGGTACAATGACCCTGTATAGTCTTTCCATCTTCTTTTAATACTTCCTGGATCATTTAATATTTTGCCCAAATAATCACTACTATAAATTAAAAAATTAAGATATAACTTAAACATTTTATATAAATGCAATCTGAGTTTATGCTTCAATAAAATCCAATATAACAATCTTTCTGTACTAATACTTTAACTGATACAAACATTAAAAGTAACAATATCATTCATTTATACTGTTCCTTTTTAATTCCTACAATTTTTAAGAATCCCACCAATGTTAAACATATAATCTCAAATAAACAAGAATTCAAATTGTTCTAATTTGTATCTCTATAAATAAAAAAAATTCCAAAACAACTTTTGCCTTTAGTTCTAAAAATTCCTTGGTACCATAATACATTTCTCATTACTTTTAATAATCTTCAGAATACAAGCCTATTTCTTCTTCCTTCTAGACTTGGATACTGAGCTCACAGCTCTCTATAGAAAGATCACCACTACTCACATCTGATGAAGAACTTGTGCCATGGCAACTCCATTAGTCAGTTGTTTGACATCTTGGCAAGGAGCAGCAGTATTGAATGTCTGCAGCTGAAATAATGCAAAGTAAATGACATTACTGCTATGTTGTACCAACAAAGTGTTGTTACCGTTAGTCAATTTTGACTCCTAAAAACCCTACGTACAAAGACTAAAATATTATGTAGTCTTTTACAATGTTCACAATTACTGCTGTGTCTGAGTTCATTGCTGTAGCCACTATAAAAAAATCCAATTAATCAGGAGTCTTTCTTTTCTTTTTTTTTTTTTATCTCTGCACCTCTACCTTATCAGGCATAAGGTGCTTTCCCAGGGACAAACTCATGATAACATGTCCTAACTATATGAAACAAAGTACTGCCTTTCTGCTTCTCAGCAAAGTTATAGCTTTACTTCTCCCAACAAAAATCTGTTTATTCCTCTGGTATCAGGCAGTATAATCAGTATTTTTCACTAACACTTAATTCAAAAGCATCAATGCTTCAGTCTTCTTTATCACTGTCTAGCTTTTAAATGTCCATGTTGTTGTTTGGGTACCACTTAGTCCAGTATGATTCATAATGGCCCTAGGAACAAGAAATCTGAACCTGTCCCATCCTGTGCCATGCTCACAGTCTGAACCACTCAAGCAAATTGCTGCAGTAACTATGTCAATCCCTCTGGTTGAAGGTCATCTTCTCTTTTGTCCTGCCTCCACTTTTCCAATGAATAGCCTCTCCTAACAACATGCCCAAAGTATGTGAGACAAATGTTTGCCATCCTTTCCTCCAGGGAGCACTCTAGCTGCATCTTCTCCAAGACAATTTAGGCATGATTTCAGGGCAGGGGGTTGGTCCTTGGAAAAATACATTATGTTTGGAAAGGCAGAATGCCAGCAGAGGAAGCTCCTCAATGAGACAGATTAACAAAGTGACTATATTGGGTTTGAGCTATAGTAGTATAATGGGGAGTGTGACGAAGACACAGAAAAGGGCAAGGTTCAGATTTGTTGTTCTGATAGGGTTGCTATGAGTTGTTGTCAACTTGTTGTTACCTAACAACAATAAATATTGAGACACAAAAGTTAAATACTAAAAGAAATCATAAAAATGATATATAGACAAGATAAGAAAATCAATGAAAAGCTTGGACTACAAAAAGGACGAAACAAACTACTGGAATGTAAAAATAAAACAAAATCACTAGAAATGTATGAACAGCATTATCTGAGCTGTCCAAAGAATGTAGAAACAATTGGGAAAGCAATTCAAATTCAATTCTGCTGTGTCAGAACCAGTTCAAAGCTGATTCTCCAGCAGATTTTCAGAAGCTTTACATTCCACTGCCCATCTTTCTAGCATGGAACAGCTGGTAGATTCAACCAGCCACCTTTAGTTAGCAGTACAACTTTCTAAGGACTGTGTTATGGACTATGTTGGAACTGAGTCAGAACAAACCCTGTTGTGCCATCGAGTCGACTACCACTCAGAGACCCTATGAACAATGCCTCTAAACCTTGCCCTATTCTAAGCCGGCTTCTCCATCTCTGACACGCTTGGCCCTATTGCCACATTCACTCTGTCAATCCATCTATTCCAGAGTCTACAGTACCTAATTAGAAGATGTTGTTGTTATGTGCCGTCGAGCTGCCTGCGACTCATAGTGACCCTATGTACAACAGCCCTAAACCCTGTTCTATCCTGTGTCAATCTCACTGTCTCCAACATCGTACCCCAGTTACCCCAGTCACTGAATCAATCCACCTCATGGAGAGTCTTACTCTCCTGCGCTGTCCCTCCACCCGCCAAGCATGATGTCCTTCTCCAAGGATTGGTCCCTCCTTGCAACATGTACAAAATATGTGAGACGAAGCTTCAGAATCCTTGCCTCCAAGGAGCAGGCTGGTCTCACTCTCTAGGATGTATTTGTTTGTTTTCTTAGCAGTCCATGGTATATTCAATATTATTCTCCAACACTACAGCTCAAAAGCATCAATTCTCCTTCTATTATCCCTAGTCATTGTCCAGCTCTCTGATGGCAGCATCTATTAGTTGAAATATGTCAGTTGGTATACCGTATTTCAACTAACAGATGCTGTCCTAGATGTGCTCACAAAGTTGTATCAAGAAATCTGGAGGGCAAACACTTGGCTAACTGACTAGAAGAGATCTCTATTTGTTCCCATCTCAAAGAAAGGTGATCGATCTGACAGTGTAGAACTTATGGAACAGTACATTGATATCACATGCAAGCAAGATTCTGCTAAAGATTATCCAAAAACAACTGGAACAATTAGAAGATAGGATATTAAAATTCAGGCCGAGGAGCAAAAAAGGGAATATAAAAATAAACCTATTTTTTTTATTAATTTCCATGAACATTTACAAAGATTTTGGATTTCCATTCATTCATTGTTGCACTTTTCTCCCCGCCCACCCCCTCACCCCCAGTTCACTCTTCTCCTTGAAAAGCAAAAGAAAAACTCCTTCATTGGTATACAATCCCCCCGCATCCCTCCACCCCCATTCGGAGTATATTCCACTCTGCAACCCTCATTCCGAACTCTTACGATAATCATAATGCCCTAAAATATATTATTTTTAAATTGTTCTCTCCCTCATCGGCTTCAATGCAGTATACATAATTTATCCAGGTTTTTTCAATCTTACCCCACCCTGATGTCAGCCTGATTCTACAATAGTGGCAGTACCATACAAAAAAAAAGAAAAAAAAAAAAAAGGGAAAAAAACCCCTATTTTAGGATTATATAGCTTCGTTATGAGTAAGGGCAGGGGAAGAAAGTAAACAGAGAGCCCAGGAGACATGTAGCACATGATCAACAGGGCCTATATATACATTAAGAAAGTTCTGTAAGAAAAATGAGGTTTTTGAAGACCTGTTATTTCAGAAGTGGATGGCCAATCCGCCTTCCTAATCTGTCTCCATCTAGGAGCTTTGCTGCACGTTGTCCCCCATGGGTGGCCTTCTGGCCTTTGAAACACTGGTGACATGGCTTCCAGCATGACAACTCATAAGTTATACCAGAGTACAGGAGACTGACAAACAAATGCCGTACTAACAGGAGAAAACGAGAAATAAGCAAGCACTTACACACCTAAGACTGAAAGTAAATGACAGCACGCCAATCACTCTCCACTGTAACGAACTGACAGGTGGTGTACCTTAAACAGCAAACCATAAAGACAATCAAAGACACAACTATCATGAAACAAGACACCTTTCTCTGGCTCCAACTAAAACCTATAGTGATGTGGCAGGATGGGGTCCTTGATATTTGGACCTGAAAGTTGCTCAGATGACTCTTTAGTACTGGTGGTTGGCCCTAGGCCCAAGGGGCACTATTCAATCTTTATGCTGAACAAATAATTTGAAGCTTGATTTTATTAAGAGGAGTGTGGCATCAGGATCAAAGGAAGACTCATCAATAAACTGCATTAGTGTAATGACACATTCTTGCTTGCTGAAAAATGAGGAGGACGTGAAATACTTGTTGCCCTAATACACTCTCTTCCGCAGAATATGATCTTGAGTCTATCCCACATGAATTTGAACTGAGGAACAGGTTTGAGGCCTTGAATACTAAGGAACAAAGATCAAACGAGCTGTGGGTAGATATAAGAAGTATCATCCACAAAGAATGCAAAGGTTCTCACAAAGACAGAAGAAGAAGAAAAGACCAAATTGGAATGACAGAAGAGACTGAATATTACACTAGAGCACTGGGAAGCCAAAACAAAGGGAAAAAATCAAGTTAAGAAGCTAAATAGAAGATTTTAAAGGACTGCATGGGAAGACAAAGCAATGGATATTATAGAAGCATAAACACAGTAAAGAGTCACTAAGCTGTACACTTAAAATTAGGATGCACTTATTGTTTGCCTATTTTGTTAGAAGGAAAAAGAAAACAGAGAACCTCTAAGATTTTTCTATGTATTCATCCGTGTATGTGTTAACCAATCTATATTGTGTACCTAATTCAAGGTGAGGTCAGCTGAGTCACCGCCTCCCACACACGTTTTTCCTCCAGCACCATGTCCTGCCTCCCCCATGCACTATATACCAGATCTACAGGACACATCTCCCTTCCCTGGGAAACTATTCTACTGTGACTACAGTGCACTACAAGTGGAGAAGAAGCAGCCCTAAGCCATAAGAAGTCAATTCTGGAGCAGAAGTGCAAGGCAAAAGGCTTTTCCTCAGAACCATCTGAGACAGGAAGCCTTCCCTGACACTAGTACCTAGGAAGTATTGGTCATCCACTTCTGAAAAAGCAGGCCTTTGAAAACCCTTTGTACACCGGGGTAATAAGGGTAGGAGTGTCAGAGACAATTAAGATTGGCACAAAATACAGCAGAGTTTAGGGCTGTTGTACATAGGGTCGCTATGAGTCGCAGGCGACTAGACAGCACCTAACAACAACAATAATAACAACAACAACTCAAGGTAGGTCTTGTGAGAGGTGCTAACACTACAAAGATGAAGATGCAAATAAGCAAACACAACAAAAAATAGCAGGAACATAGAGAAGAGGATGACTTACCTAGGGATCTAACATAAGGCTCTAAAAAGAAGGAATCACATGAATAGAGATTTGAAGGATGTGTATGAGTCAAATCAAATAGGCAGAAAACATTTTCTAAACTTTTGGAAACAGAATGTGTTAACAGTATACAGACGTTAAAACATCTGATAACAATCCTGCCTGATGCTAAAAAATTTAATCCTGACTTGTTATAAATTTAGTGATTGTGAGAATGCGCAAATTTGTACTTACTGATGAAGGTGAACAGAAAACAGAAAATGCACATAATATAAAATATGATGGAAAAACATTTGGAAATTCACCGAATAACAGTGCACAGGGAGCAACATGATCAGATTTTTACTTTACTAAGAGCATTAATGCTGCAGTATGTAAAATGTTTTATCCTGAGTTAATAGTTGAGCTAGTACGTTAATGCAATCTCAATACAGATCCCAAATCCATTTTTCAAAGAGACAGAGACAGAAAAGGCAATGGCAAAGTTTATAAGGAAGCAAAAGACTCTGAA